CATTTGGGCCCTCTGGGAAACTCGAGGGGCCCTGCTGGCACAGCGGGCCAAAACCCCAGGCCCCCGCGGCCCAACCCCAGCCCCCAGCGGGGCACCCCTGCCATGTGCATGCCCCAGATGACCCCCCGCGCGAACGCGTCCAGGTGAACCTGGGACGGCGGCGCCCTCTTGGCCTTTATGGCCAGCTTCTGAACGCGCTTCGGGTTGAGCTTCGGGGCCATGTCCAGCGGGCGGGCCCGCGGGTGAGCGCGATGCGCATGGGGGCCGCGCGGTCGCGGATCTGCGAGCCAGAGTGAGCGGCTGCGGTAGGGCAGGAAATCTCCGGGCGGATCGGCAATGCGGGTCGCGCCACCAAGCGAGCCCCCCACCACCACCACCACCACCACCACCGCCACCCCAACCCCACACCCCACCCCACCCACCCCACCCACCCACCCACACATACACACACACAGACACACATACACACACACACACACAAAACACAAACACTGACACACACACACACACACACAGACTCACACACACACACAGACACCCACACACACACACACAGACACACACACACACGCACGCACGCACACACGCACGCACGCACAGACGCGCGCGCGCACTCACACACACACACACACACACACACACACACACACACACACACACACACACACACACACACACACACACACGCGTCGCAAGAAAGATGTGAACATCCCTCGTCGAAATTGAACGCAAGTTTTAGCCGCGACCTGGCGGCGCCCCCCGACCCCCAATTTCAACGTTCGCGCCGACGCTGGCGACTTCGAGATTTTCTTCGGACCCCGCCGGCCGCGAGGCGCCTGTCGATGAACATTAAAATTTGGGGGCGAGAGGGGTGGACAAAAACTTGCGTTAAATTTCGACGAGGGTTGTAAGGCCAGGAAAGACGAAGAAATAGCGAGTGAAACACCGGCGAACCAAGGCAAAATCAAAAAGCGACAGATCGGCGCGGGCCCAGAACGACTAAGCAGTGAGTAACGGGGCACGACAGGCGACTAGCCAGCGCGTGACTAGAGCGACTGATCGGCGGGCCAAAGGGCAAACCATCGACGGATCGGCGCATGCCCGGCGCTTGCCCGCCCGAAACAGGACACTGCCCGCGGCGCCCCACTCGCGCGCCGCGAGGAAATCGCACGGGAAGCGCACGTCATGCCACAACGTGTCCAGCGCGTCACCGCCGCACCGCGCGCAGCGAGCTCTACTACCCATATGATCTGACCCACCAGCCGCTCGACGCGGGCCGCGACCTGTTTCTCGGAGGGCCCCGCCAGGCCAGCCAAGTGCCCAGCCGAGTCAGGGCTGGCGGGGCGCGAGCGCCAGCAGGTTGCCGCCCGCGCATTGGAAGGGAGCACAGGAAGTCAACCACGATCTGTCGTGGGACCATTTCGGGGCGAGCACGCCCTTTCCGTTGGGTTCTCTAGGTCCCAGGTGCAGTGATCCCAGCGTTTACGATTCCACGGGAAGTCAGCCCACGCCACCTAGACCATCCGCCAACGGCCACCCTGCACTAGCGGCGGCCAATGGGGCGCGGGAGGCGCGCATGTCTCGTGCACCACTGCCTCTGCCGCCCACGGCGACAACTGCCAGTCTGCCGTCCATGAAGCAGTCGACAAGACAGCCCACGCGAGAGGACTCTGGACCTCTGATCGCGCACCTCGGATCTGACTGGCCGAGTAGGACCTGGAAGACGCCGGCGAGCGCGCGGGAGAGTCCGCGCCGGTCGGGGGATCGACGGCGTCGCCCTCGGAGTACCGGGGGCGTTGGACCAGATCACTCGCTGGGCTCTCTCCGCCCGCTGCCGCAGCGCTCGACCGGGCCCGCGCTGTCGCGGCCAGACGACGCGGGGCCGCAGCGGCGCTCAGCGGCACGCAGCACCAGGGCAGCGCTCGGCAGCATAACATCGACGAGATCGGCGGTGTAGCATCGAAAGATTGGCGCGCGCAGAAGTGGAAACAGGCTCCACGACGTCGCCACCCTGCCCCTGCACCTCCCAGCTGCCGCCCGCCGCGACGCAAGCAGGAGAGCGCCAGAACCCCCCGCCCCCCAGCATCGCTGAACGCCGGCACTGCGCGGGCCGCCCCCGTCGACCCCCCATCGGCGCCCACGTCCGCGACAACGCCGACGGCCTGGTTCATCTCGACGCCCTTCTCCTCCTCCACGGCCATCCGTTGTCGCGCCCCTCGCCAACCCCGATTCAAAAATCGCATAGGGCGCGCCGCAAAACTGGTCAACGGCAGCAAGGGCACGAAGCAGACTGGGGAGCGACTGGCGGCATAAAATCGACAAGATTGGCGGCGTGGCATCGGAAAGATTGGCGCACGAAGGATTGGGAACAAGCTTCAGGACGTCGCCGCCGCGCCCCTGCACCTCCTTGCTTCCGTCCGCCGCGACGCAAGCAAGGCCCCAGGAGAGCACCTGACCCCCCCGCCCCCCGGCATCGGTGAACGCCAGCACTGCGCGGACCGCCCCCTCGAACCCCCCATCGACGCCAACCTCCGCGACCACGTCGACGGCCTCCATCGCCCCGACATCCCCTTCCTCCTCCACGGCCACCCCCTCGGCACCGCCCTCGCCATTCCTATTTTTCGATTCAATAATCACATTGGGTACTCGGCAAATTTGATAAACAGCAATGAGGGCATGCAGAAAAAAGAATATCCTCTCACCGGGCGCCCTCCACGACTTCCCACCTCGGCGTCGACGCCCCCATGCACCTCCACGCCCTTCTCGACCGCGCTGCAGCTGCCACGGCCGGCTACCACCGCCGGCAGTGACAGATAATGGGTCAGGAATGCTGCAACAGATGATGGGTCGGGGGCGCTACCCGCACGTTGATCGGGGCGCTGAAACAGACCATGCGTCGGGGATGCTCGGGGCCTAGCTTCAGACCAGCGTCGCGCAGGGCAGAGACAGGGCCAGCCGCCGCAGAAGGACCGTCGGAGCACCTTCTGACATCCACCACTTCCTCCTTGCCCCCCCTTGTCGCGCGCCCCCATGCCCACCGCCTCGACGAACTCCCCCCAAGTACCATTCACCTCCTCCCTCTCGAACTCGACCTCCTCCTCCTCCTCCACCTCCTCCCCCTGCGCCTGCGGGTCGAGACGCAAACCGAAATCTGCACCAAGCTCGCCACGGCAGCCTCGGAGGCGCCGTCGAGCTCACGCGGGAAGCGAGCCACCTTCAGCCCTGCGGACGGCAACAGGCGCCCGGACGACTTGCCGCTGAGCGCCGAAAGGAAGTAGCCGTTCACCGCCAACATGGACCCGCGAGCGCGCGTCAGCTCCGTCGAACGCCTCCTGGTGAAAATGTCCGTGCTGACATTCGCGATGATGCCGGCGAGATCCCATGGACTCGCTGGCTCCTCCTCCTCCTTGGCGCCCTCCCCTACAAGCTCGTCCTCTCGTTCGCCCCCCTCCTCCTCCATCATCTCCGCAACCATCTTCTCAACGACCAAATCTTCCACCTTGTCGTTCAATGTCTCCTCGACGTCATCTACGATCTTCGCCCCTTCGAACGCGACCTCCTCTAGCTCCGCCTCCTACACGACCTCCTCCTCCTCCTCCTCGTCCTGCTCCTCCTCCTCCTCCTCCTCCTCCTCCTCCTCCTCCTCCTCCTCCTCCTCCTCCTCCCCCTCGGGCCTAGCCCCCCGCCTCGGGGGCAACGAGGAGCCCGCGTAGACCGCCAATTCTCCCAAGGCGGAGCCGGTCACGCTGTCCGAGAAAAACATTCCGAAGATCGCCCTCGTGGAGTAGCAATCGGATTTCACGACGCCCTCCTGGAATAGCATCTCGATGATCCCCATCGTGGCGAGGCGACCGTGCGCAAAGTCCGCAGCCTGCTTGGGCTGCTGCCCCGGGGCGTCGCGGGACGTCAGCACCTGCCCGCGAAAGGCGCACACCGCGGCAAAGGTGCTGGTGGACAGGTCCACGGAGGGCTCGCGGAACGTGCCGTGCGCGACAGTCGGCGCCCAGCTCAACGCGAGAACCGTGGAGATGGCAGCGAGTCCGCTCAGGATGTCAGCGAATCGCAGCCCCGCGGACGGCGCCAGTGAGTTCCAAGGTGATGTACCCGATGGTCACCACCATGCTCACGCGGCCGTGCTGCAGGTCCGCGTGGCGTCTCGAGACAGAGCACTCCTGACTGCCATACGCTGCAAAATCAACAGGGCCCCGAAGTTCACAGGGTCCTGCACGCCAGGGCGCCCTCGACCACGCGCAGCAGGAGCCCGGTGCATGGGGCCTGGCCGCCCCAGGCAGGTCCGCGAGCACCACTCGCGGCGGCAGCAGCCATTGCGGCAGCGGCCGGCCCCAGCGCGGCCGGCCCGGGCCACGGCCGCGGCAGCTCGGGTCGAGCAGCCAGCGGCCGCGGCGGCGGCGGCGGCACCATCAGCGGCGGCCGCCGCACAGGCGCCGTCGGCGGCGGGGACAGCGCTGGGGGCGGCCGCGCGAGCGGCAGGCCTGGGCACGCGCGCAGCAGCGGCTGGCAGCCCGCGGCCCGCCCGCCAGCAGGGCCAGCGGCAGGCGCATTGGCAGGCTGCGGGCGGGCGATGCCGCCAGCCCGGACGGCGGCGGAAGCGGCGGGGCCAGCGGCATCCAGGGGCACCAGGCCCGCGGGCAACGCCACGCCGCCGCCGCGCCGCAGAGGACCCCATCCGGCCCAACTCCGAGAGCCGCACCTGAGCCAGTGGCCTGCTCGAGCCCGTACGGCTGGTGCCGAAAAGGCCACGGACCTGCACCTCCACACACACACACACACACACACATCCTGGGTCGCGTGCTGGCCAAGGTTTTGAAGCGAGGCCAGCTGTGGCTACAAAGGTTCCCCCCCCCGAAAGCCCAAAAACGTCAAAATGCCTTAAAAGTTAGTGCTTGAACCCTCAAACGTGACTCTTTGATCCTCCGTCTTCCCCCCCCCTCGTCCCATCACCTCCCAGGGGCGTTCCCTGCCCCGCTCGGGAGGGGCGCCTGATGAGGTGCGCGGGGACGACGGCCTCGCCCGGCCGAGTTGTCGCGCAGACCCGCCCCGTGAGGGCAAAAGCAAAGGCGGGGGGCGTGCGTGCGTGTGCGTAAGTTTGCGCGTCTGCGCATGTTCGCGTGTGTATGTGTGTGCGTGTACGTGTGCCTGGTTCTTCGCAGCTTCGGCTGCCTATTACCAACCTGTCGCCCCCTGCAGGCTCGCTCCCCAGTTCGTGCGCCACTTCCACGCCAGGGACTCTAAGCGGCCCTTTTGCACGCCGGCTGGGTGCAATTCAGCACGTTTGATCGCATCCCACTCATGCAGCGGTGCCGTCGCCTCGTTGTACGCGTGCGCGGGTGCGGGGGTGCGCGTGCGCGTGCGGTGCGCACGTGTGCGCGTGTGCGCGTGTTCGCATGCGCATGTGCGCGTGTGCGTGTGTGTGTGTGTACGTGTGTACGTGTGCACGCGTTTGCCCGGAATCGCCTAGCGTTTCTAGCCTCCGATTCCGCACCTCTTCACAAGGAAGCCAAGTCGACGAATTCGCGGCCAGTTGCCCTGCCTCTGCGGTTCGGAATTAGCCGCAGCTCAGAGGAGCAAGCAGCTTGCTCTTTCAAAGAGCAGCGTTGCCTGCGCGCCTCCTCCGGCAAGTGCGTCTCCTCCTAGGGGGGGAGCTGACGGCGGGCCGCGCCTGGAGGGTGAAGCTCACGCGGAGTAAAACAGATGATCATCGGACGGGCACACCCACCCCATGTTCCGTTCCATCCCGCCCGCCTTCTTTCTTCCTTCTCTCTTCCATGGGCAGCGAGCTTCGTCCCCCTCTGCCTTTTCCTTTCTCGTCCTCCTCTTCCCCGCCGTTGTCCTTTTTGTCCAGGCTGATTTCACAGGCATCCGTGCATTCGCAGCCCTTCTGCACGCCAGCTCGCGGTCTCCCGCATGTCCCCGAAGCCAGAAAGGCCGGGCGAATGCTCACACGTTCGGTCGCGTCCCACGCATGGATCCGCGACGGTGCCGCCACCTCGCGCTGGAGAAGGAACTGCAGGACGTGAGGAGCCAGGGACACAGGCAGGGAGAGCTGGGAGAGGTGGACAGACATGGAGAGACCAAGACAAGAGGGAGGAGACAAAGAGAAGAGAGGGGACGAGAGAAAGGGAGAGGGAGGGAGGCAGGCAGGGGAGAGAAAGAGGGACGAAGGGGATTGAGACAAAGGACAAGACGACACACAAATGAGACGACGAAGAACAAAAATGAATGGAAAAAGACGGAGAGACGGGAAGGGTAAGAGAGGATGGAGACGGAGAGAAGGAGGCACGGAGGAACCGAGGGATCTGGGAGGCTGGGGGCGGCGGGGGTAGGCAGAGCGGACAAGAGTGAGAGACGAGGAGACGGGGAAATGATTCAAGACGTAACCAGGACGAAGAGAAAAGCAAGCGAAGATAAATCGGGAATCTCTGAGATCCAGCGGCTCTGGAGGATGTCTCGGGCGCCGCGGCCTTCTCAAAGCGTTCCAGAACGCTCTGAGGGCGATCTGGACAGCTCTGGAACGGATTCTCGTCCTGGCACCGTCCGATGACAAACGGGGAGAAGTGGAGACGGGGCGACTGACAGACAGAGGAGCAGAGAAAGAAGTGGAAAGAGACAGAGAGGGGGAGGTTAGAAGGGGACGGGAAGACAGAGAGAGAGAGAGAAAGCAAACGTCGCGGCCTCGAAGCCGCCGTCATCGTACCGGATGGCGAACGTGCCGTTGCCGTTTGCCTCGCGCCCCCATTCGCTCGGCACGACGGGCAGCGCTCTGCGCGTCTTCGTGCTCGCGCGGAGTACCACCAAGCGCGCGCTGTACGGGTCCCCCGAGGTCCTCGAGGCCTCCAAAAGCCCACAGAGGGCAACAACAAAAGAAAATCAAAAAAAACATCGATCATGAACGTCGAACAAGTGTCGAAGATACTGGCTGAGCGACTCCGCGATCATTGCTGGCGGGGGCCGCAATCCACGCCTCTCTGGAGCAGAAGCTCTGTCGCCGCTAGCCGCGGCTGCTTCTGGTGCACTGAGCGAACAGGAGGAGGCGCCAGCGACGGCCTGGCGATGCCGACAGAACCTGCAGGGGTGACTAAGCTTCGGCATCCACAAAGAAGGAGAGTTCAACCAGCTCAGTCATCCTCCTCCCCCTCCTTACTCTCCCCTCCCCATCATCATCAGCAAGAATATCACCATCTTCCACCCAGAAGCATGTAGTTTACTCCTCCTCCTCTTCCTCCTCCTCCTCCTCCTCCTCATCATCATCATCATCATCATCATCAGCAGCAGCACCATCACCATCAAATCGCAGTAGTCGTCGTTGTCGTCGTTCTCGTCGTCATCGTCGTCGTCATCCTCGTCGTCGTCGTCAACGTCGTCGTAGTCGGCGGCGGCGGCGTCGGCGTCGGCTTCGGCGTCGGCCTCGGCGTCGCTGGCGGCGTCGGCGTCGTCGTCAACCTCCTCCCCCTCCTCATTCTCCTCTTCCTCCTCCTCCTCGTCCTAAATCATCATCCTCATCCAGATCTTGACTCCCCATCCTCATCCGGATCCTGCTCTCGCTCCCTCTGCGCATCTTCCTCCCCCTCTCTTCCTCTTTCAGACGGACTGTGCTTCAACACACACGCATGCGATCTGCCCGGAAAGAAAAGCGTGCGGAAACAAGCACACGGGCAGGGGAAGTGGACGAGGGACGAGGGACGAGTGATGCGGAGGGGGCGGGAGAGGGTAAGAGAGAGCGGAGGGGAAGGGAGAACATGATGCGTGGTAGAACGTCCAGCAAAAAACTTGATTTACTCGTGCGCAGAACTAAGATTGCGCCACGTCCGTATGAACAGCATGGAACCATGTTCATGCGGAGCTGCACTCCTTCGAGGGCGTGCAGCAGCTGGAGCCGAGCCCCCCCGCCGCACAGCACATGCTCAGAGTGAAAGCCCAACGCGGCTGTCGCTTGCCGCTTCGACTGGAGCTGGCCGAGTCGCTCTGGGGGCGGTCAGGAACACATTAGCATGATATAAAACAAAGCGGCATGGCACAAAGGCTCGACGGTCCGCGCGGACCGTCGACAGTTTTGTCTTCAGCAGCACCATAATCGGAAGAACAAGGTGGGCACGGCACAGCATCGGGCCATTGGCCCCTTTCTCTCACGTGCAACAAGATGGCACAAGCGAAGGGAGCGAAGGTATCCGAACAGACACGCCGAGGGAGAAAAACGCGGATCCACTGAGAAGAAGAGAGCACGGAATATGGATCGGCCTGGCCCGTGGGACCCAGTCGTGGCATGGAGGGGAAGCTTCCCAATGGCCGGCGCGGCCGCATCGTCGAGCAACGTGCAGCGAGAAAGAGAGAGATAGAGAGAAGTCATCATGCATGGCGCACGCACGACGCGCGCACTCGCGCTCACCTGCTGTACCTGGCTGGCGCCGCTCTCGACGCAAAAGCGGGATGCAGGGGCGTGGGAGCGCTATCTTCGGAGGAGCGAGACGAAGTGCTTGCGCTGGTGACCTCAGCGGGCTCCGACCCCGCGGGCCGCGCGCACTGGGTGCTGATGGCCGAGTCAAGACGACAGCAGGTCCCCGCGTCGGACGACGAGCGGCAGCTGTCGCGCAGGTACTCGTGCGCGAGCGCCTCCGCGGCGGTGTAGCGCTCGTCGCAGCTCCGCTCCAACAGCCGCATCGCGCCTCAATAACGGCCCGCCCCGCTTGCCGGCCAGCGCGGCCTTCCACATGCCGTGGACCGTCATGCTCTGTCGGGGGCGAAGGGCTACTTCCCGCACAACAGCATGTGCGCCGTGCACCCGTACGACCAGACATCCGCGGGCTTCCCGTACGCGGGATCGTTTTTCGCCAGCATCTCCGGCGACATGTATGGGAGGGTTCCGCATCTGCTCCGCAGCTGCCCGCCAGTCGGGACCCTGGCGGTGAGGCCGAAGTCGCACAGCTTCACCGTCCTGCCGTCCGTGCCGACCAGGAAAGTGGCGGGCCTGACGCGCGTGCACTCGCAGCCGATGCTGTAGCCGCACTCTGGACCTCAGCATTCTGACGACCTCCTACCCACGTTTGTGGTAGTTGAGCTGGTAGGAGATCGTGAGCTGCTCGAACGAGGTACTCCGGCTGGAGCCCCCCTTGTCCTGGTTCTGGCGCCAATCCGTCACATTGGCCCTCAAGTGTCTTGAATAAGTTCCTGCTGTCGAGATTACGCGCGCGATGTCGGCACCCTCTCCGTCTGCGGACGTAGTGTCGCGACATTCTTCTTCATCATGAAATAGATGCCGATTGCCGCTGGTTGTGCTCCTCTAGCTTGCTAGACCACGCAGTGAATCGCCCGTGTGATAGTGTCTGCCACGTCCCCAACTCATCTGACGCAACTGCGTTCGGTCTCCCTGGGCACCAGTGTCTTGCATTGCCCCAGGTGACACCTCGATGTCCTCTCTTGATGTAGTCTTGCAAATTGACGTTCAGCTGGCATCTGGCACATTCGAGGGACAGCGTGTTCATGACGGGAAATCTGTCAAAAACAGGCGTTCATATTCATATCCCCTCGCCCGATGATCGTGATAAAAGTCGTTTCTCCTCTCTGCGTCGGAAAATTATGACCAAGTATTGAGATGCGATTGGTCTTCGTCCGTGATCGCATCTGCGAGACTCCCTTTTCGAACATGATGTGTGGGTCTGTGTCGTACTCACTGACCACAAGACCTTCGTGCCGCGTCTCTCCTCTGGCGTCCGTCGGTCGTTTGCCTCGCAACCCCCCGCCCTAGTTGCACGGTGAAATGACCACTCCAAGCTGGCTGTACATTGCTTCTCGGAGTATATACATATATATATATATATACATATGACGTCGCCCACGCCTGGGCGGCGTCTTTCTGGTTCTCTCCGATGGCAATGTTGCACAAGCAATTGTTGACCGCCTCTGGCATGATTAGCCTGAGTCGACCCTCCCACCCCGATGAGGTCTTCAACCCCAGTGGGAAAGGTTGTCTGCTTTCTTTCAGGAGTGGTATCACCGCTTGTCCTTTCGTTGTGCTGTCTCGATACGATACCCTAGCCTGTCCGTTGAGTACAATGCCAAACCGTCGTAGCAGGTTGTTCGCGGCCGCCGTGAACATCTTCGCCTGCGCCCCTGATACTGCACTCTCCGCGTCCGTCTCGCAACGCCATCTCCTCGCCCGTGGCATACGCAGAGTCGAGCATGGCCGCGATGGATGCCGTCGTATAGGTCGCAATCGCGTCCAGCGCCTCGGGTGTCGGTGGCGGCTGTGGATCATCATGTGTGTTGCTTCAATACCAGAATAATGTCTGTGCGTTCGATAGTTCTTCTGTTGCGCAGTGGTGGAACGCCTTTTTTCCCGTGGCCCTGGGCTCCCACCAGAAGTTGAGAAAGGCCCTCTCCTGTGTCGGGCGCGTCCCTCCCCCCATCACAGTCTCTGATCATGTTGATTGCTCCGTTGTCGGGCTGCTGATGCGTCGTTGTCGGGGGGTTCGCGTTGTGGATGATGATGCTGGTGTGTCGTCGGGATGCGATGCAGTCGGGATGCTGCTGGCGGTTGCCGTTGGACTGCGTGCGCGGTTGCACTGCTCTTTGCATGCATCGTTGAGGCTCTTCTGTCAGACTCCCCTGTATGTATGTGTATTCTTGCTGCCGTGTCGTCGCATGGTGGTTGCTTCCGTGTCAGTCGTCGTCGTGGCTGCTTGTAGGATCGGAAATGTTAGTGGTTGTGAGTCTCCTCCCGCTCTTTCTGGCGCCGGTTGGCCGGTGGGTTCTGGTGTCGGCGCAACCTCCCCCATACTCCCTCCATCTCCAAATACATCAGGTTCCTTGTCCACGTTCCCGCCGAGATTGAAGAAATCATACACCTCGTCGCCGTGATCATGTGGTTGAGGTACCTCGCTCAGCTCCTGGTGTTGTTCGAGATACTCTTAACTGTGGGCACCTCAATCCGTTTTTTTGAATAATTTGAGACACTCTGCGGCTCTTTGTTGGATGACGTCTATCAGCATACCCTGCACGTCTTGTGCCCTCTTAATGCGAGCTTTGTATTTGTCGATCGTCTCAATGTCGATTTGATGTCGCCGTGCTCCTTGCACTACTCTGTGATATGCTTGATCGTTGTGTTCGCGTGCTCGTCGATCTGCAGGTCGTCCATTCTCACGTTCAGCTTGCCTCTGATAGCTGCGAACTTTACGCACATTGAAATGTTTCTACCCCTTGGCCTGTATCGCTCTCTGTATTTGAGTCCATGAATCACAATGTGCCGTTTGAACCGAATGTTACGTCTTGGTTTTATGGCCGCCAACCCCTTTGCCACGTAGTCCGACTCTGTGAAATATACTTGCCAAGACCAAGCCCAAACGGCCCATCGTAGTGCCGACCGTACCTCTGACCGTTGTGCATTCTGTACTGGCCCTTGCAAGTGCGCTGTCGTATTGTGTGAATGTGCTGGTTCGTAGTACACTCCCCACCCCGCCTTTCGCAGGCGGAGGTCGATATGTCCTGCCGGTGCGGCTCCGTCGCCTGCGACCACCAGGAAGCCCTCCGAGAAAACCGACATCGCGTCCTCGTCCGCGTCGTCGAGCTGCAGAAGTGCTGGATCAGGGTCTTCTTGTACTGCCAGCGCTATGTGTGAGAAGTGACTGTCCAGATCGTCATCGTCGAGGATGATGCTTGTGAAATTGGTTATCACCGGGATAGTCGCGATCTGCTCCGCCGTGTATTTCTCAATTGGCGGGCTTGACGTCAGC